GGCCGAAATGAGCTTTCTCCGCAGGGCGGCCGGGCGCACCCTTAGAGATAGGGTGAGGAGCTCGGTCACCCGGGAGGAGCTCAGAGTAGAACCGCTGCTCCTCCACATCGAGAGGAGCCAGCTGAGGTGGCTCAGGCATCTGTTTCGGATGCCTCCTGGGCGCCTTCCTAGGGAGGTGTTCTGGGCATGTCCCACCGGGAGGAGGCCCTGGGGAAGACCCAGGACACGCTGGAGGGTCTATGTCTCTCCCCCGGAGGAGCTGGAGGAAGTGTCTGGAGAGAGGGAAGTCTGGGCATCTTTGCTTAGACTGCTGCCCCCGCGACCCGGTCCCGGATAAGCGGAGGAAAATGGATGGATGGATGGATGGAATTTTGAGCTGTTTTTTCCAGTGCTGCTGATATTCCCGCTGCTTAATTTAAGTCTAGACACTGGTGTTTTGCAGGCATTTGCCAGCTAAATAGATGCAAGGTGAAATGTGGCCAATTGTTAATATTTGTGTGTAAAGATCTTCTCAAGAATTTCAACAGCAACTAAAAAACTAAACCTCTAGCTTGGTTGGACTAAACAAGCCACATGAAGATGGCATTTCATAATTATTTAATAGATATTTTTTAAGAATCATAGATTAATCAGTAATGAAAAATGAGAGTTATGTGCTGCCTAACAAAAATAAAAAAAACTGATGTACTAATCTGGTTTGAACTGGTTAGTAGATATACATTCTCATGTAACCATCTTTGTAAATTATTTGAACTGAATATGTGGTCAGTAAAGAATCTGCTTATACTGTATGTAATATTTGCACCTGAATTATTTGTGGCCACTAAGGTTTTATTTGTGTTTCTGTGGTGTAGCAGTGGTGGGTAGACGTTATGTTGGTATTGACTATATGCCCAACCTGCTGACAATTTGCAGTTACATGTTGTTTGCACTTTGCAGAATTTTGGGAGAAACCACAAAGTCTTAAAGTTTTGTGGATGGAGAAAGTGAGCATAGGGCTCACAGTGTCCCTGTGCTCTGGTTTAGTTGCAGTTGGAGCAGCAACCAGAAGCAGTTCCAGATCCCAGAATTTCTGTTTATATCTCCTTCATTTTGTTATGATTTGTAAACTATCTCCTGTTCAGTTTACATTTCTCTAACCATCAAGCCAGTCACACTCCAGTGATTCTGTAGGAATTTGGATCTGCTTTGAATTTGATTTCCTTCTTCATTGTTCTCAGTGCTGTCTAGCTCTCCCATCCTTTGCTCTCTGCTTGTCCATGTCTTAGGGTGATGTTCAAACATTAGAGTGTATGTAGTTTTGTGTTTTCAGCACCGTGAGACTTGATGTGCAGTGTGACCTCAGTGGCATATTGTCACACTGCAGTGATGACCTGGTTAAGAGCAGCCGAAGCCCAGATGTTTTCTTTAGTATGCTTCCATATACAGCTCAGATCAAACGTTTTTAGAAAGTTTTGGAACATTTTATTTTTGCAGGCTCTGTGCTTCAGCACATGTATTTTGAAATAAAATAATGGATACTTTATGAGGGAGATGACCATGCAAGTGAAGAAGATAATAATGAGCGTCGAATATCTTTCAGAGATATCACAGATTGGATAGGTTGACCGAAATTAACTGTTGCATACAAAACTAGAAAATGTCAAACAAACTCTGGCATTTAGTGATGATTTCACTATTGATGAAAATAATAGGATGTATGCAGAGGTATACATAAGCAGTATCTGCGCTCAGATTCAGCCAAATGCATCAAAGCCCATCATTCAGCAGGGCAACAATCCTAAACAAACAGCCAATGTAGTCAAAGAGATTTTTATGGAGAAGAGGTATGGACAAAATATGGACAAACAAATTTAAAACATTAAAATATAATAATCTTAAAATAGTTTTAGATAAATTTCCAAGCTAAAGGAAAAAAGAGACCAGTCTTAACTTAATTCAAAAGTCAGCTATGTGTTTTGTACAGAAAATGTTTCTGGACAAGCAAAGCAGAGCAAGCAAGTGCAGTGATGCACAAGAGTCACCAGCAGCAACAGTGAGTGAAGACGGACGTACGGCAGAAGTGTCCAAACTAAAGGAGATGCTGACTCAACGTGATAATGAGATCAGTATCCTTTGAAACGGTGCAGCCATCTTACTATAGCTGAGCTCTTATTACAGGACTACCTGTAATTGAGTTTTGAGGAGTTTAGTCTAGTGGTCAAAACAATATGTGATGAGATAATCTATGCATGCTAACGCTATTGTATGTTACATTAGATTACACAGTTGTAGGTGGTTCACAATATTGAAAATACAAACTCCAAATTTTCTGTTTTTTATGATTTAGAAATTCATAATGTGTCTAAAAATAGAAGAAGTCTTTTATCGATGAACAGGCTGGCTAAATTTGCTCAATTTTTGTGGTATACCTTCTATTAAACTGAATTAACAATATTTTACTATTAACAACTGTGGAAGGTTTAGATACTGTATTACTGGAGTTAAAATTCCTCTCTCTGCGTCTCACATCACCTGCGGAGACGAGGCGTGCAGTGCACTTTGAATTGGCATTCCAAATTTGGGAAAAAAGGGCAAAATCAGTAAGAAAATAAACAGAGTATGGAAGGTGTTGACTGAATTTTAAATTGGTGTCTGCTCACAGTGCTATTACTTTTGGTAGTAACGTTTTCTTTAGTGGAAAGTTACTGTATTTATTCTAAAGTAAATCTGCCTGTGCTATTGCAAGGTTAGATTACAGCGCTTCTACAAAAATAAACTTTCATAAGCACTGTAAATAATCTTTCCTTCATCACCAGCTCTCTATAATCCATGAAACATTGTTTAAATGTATAAGTTCAGATAGATCTTCCTCTAATCATTGCAGTCAATTATAATAATGATGTTTGCATTTCAATATGATTCTTAGTGGCTTTATGGGATTATTCTTCCCTAAACCCCACATGCTGCGGCTTGTCAATAGATCACTGTATATTAGTTGGAAAATTGAGATGTCTGCTTTGTTATTTAGCCACATAAAAAAACTCAGCTTACCAAATTAAATAGAATATTATACAGATACATTATTGCACCATAGTATTTCTTGGACCAAGTATTCCTAATGTGAAATCTTGTACGCTTTACAGATTGTTGCTTTCAAACTGTCATATACATCATCATTCACATGATGAAATTTTAATTACAATACTTGCTCTTGTGCTGTTGAACACATATTTCAGCAAATATGTGCACATTCTACTGACCGTATACACTGTAACTTTATATCTGCTTGCTAAATTAGCTTTCTTTGTCTGTATAACTGTCCAACCCCCTCATCTCTACTCTGGAAACATTTTTACTGGGAGGCTTTGGTTCCTGTGCCACAGGCCTGCTGTTCCCAGACTGGTGCTCACAGGATAAACTATGGGAGTGTTCCTTGTAAAACAAAGGGGTGTATCTCTACCCACTCCCCCTACATGTTCCCATGCATGGTTGACACTGCATGGGAACATGTAGGGCACCTGGTAGTACTTAACTGACTCTCCTAGAGTGGTGATACATCTGCCACTAACTTGATGATAGAGCAACAAGGAGAGCTAGCAAAAACTGTTGACTTTAAAGAGAAACATTGTACATACATTTGTAATGCCATGTAACTTGCTAGGCATATGGTAATTCATCAAACCATGTGTACGCTAACTTTTTTTGTAGGTTAGTGTATGATACTATGACATAGTAATGCAACTGAAAGTAGGAACTGTTTTGCAAATAAAAAAAATCTGCACATTTATGAGCTATAGAGAAAAGCAAACTGGAGAACAAATACTATAAGAAGCAAACATGCTGTGAAAGGATTAGCAGCAAAATTCTTAAACTAGTTGTTCTAACACTTGAGTAGATTATCTCATTGTGTTTACTGCATTTGCAAAAATTTCCTTGGACTCCATTAATAACTTCAGACTCTATTATTTCTTATCACGACTATTATTGTTCATAATCCTCTTAATTAAAATAATGCCATAAAATGTATTGCTGAAAGACACCACAGTCTCCTGAATGTGATGTACTCTATATGCCCCTTATTTTTTGCCACAATAGTGGAATGACTCTAAGGATGGAAATTTTGGTCAGCCAGTGAAATATGTGGACATCTACTAGATTGATTGGCATAAAATTTGGCACTGACATTTTTTGTCCCCAGACTACACATCCTAATGACCTTGGTGAGTCCCTGATTTTTAATGAAAGGCTGTGGAGAAAATAGCAGGGATAAGAACCTTTGTTTTGGTAGTGCTGGTATTATTTTAGTGTTTACAGAATGTATATTGTATATGTTATTACCTTTAAATGTGAGTTTTATACTAACACATTCATGTTTTGAGCTTCTTTTTAACCCCATAGAAAGCAATGTCTTTGCATTCTTCTGGGTCTTATGAAACAAGGACTCAACCAACAACCTTAATCATTACTGGTCCTATAATATATATAATGATCATGAAATGTATCATCTATTGCAACATTCCGTGTGGAACTGGGAGGGTTTGGCTGCTTCCTTGATTGCTGTTTTTTGAGTTAGCTACAGTGTACAGTAGCTAATCCAGACCCAATTTTGTGAGTTCTCTGTAACTTAAAGCAATGTACAGAATTTGACAGCTGCGAACAGTATTACATAGACCCATATTGCAAACAAGGGCTGATTAAATGAAATTGCCTCAATCATTTTGCATATTTAAAAGGTTTGTCTGGTGTTAATGCCCAACATTTGAATAGTATGAAGTAGAGTGGTGTTGATTTTTTAAAAGTTGGTGAAGAATACAGAATATTGCCTTAGTTCTTGATTCAACATGGCGATGCACAGTCACTGAGAATAAACAAACACTTTGCCAGCTATTTTTTGGATTTATACACACGTGGACAAAATTGTTGGTACCCTTCCGTTAAAGAAAGAGAAACTCACAATGCTCACTGAAATAATGAAAAATTGACAAAAGTAATAATAAATAAACATTTACTGAAAATTAACTAATGACACTCAGTCATTGCTTTTGAATTGTGTTTCAACAGAAGCATTTAAAAAAAAACTAACTAATGAAACAGGCCTGGACAAAAATGATGGTACCCCTAGAAAGGATTGAAAATAATTTGACCATAGAGACATGTTAAACTAAAGTGTGTCCTCTAATTAGCAGCATCACAGGTGTTTTCAAACTTGTAATCAGTCAGTCTGCCTATTTAGAGGGTGAAAAGTAGTCACTGTGCTGTTTGGTATCATGGACCACAGAAAGCTAAGGAGAAAGTTGTCTTAGGAATTAGAAAGAAAATTATAGACAAACATGTTAAAGGTAAAGGCTATAAGACCATCTCCAAGCAGCTCCATGTTCCTGTGACCACAGTGGCACATATTATTCAGACGTTTAAGTTCCACGGCACTGTAGCCAACCTCCCTGGATGTGGCCGCAAGAGGAAAAATGATTACAAATTGAAGACACAGATAATGTGAATGGTAACCAAAGAGCCCAGAACAACTTCCAAAGAGATTAGAGGTGAACTCCAAGGTCAAGGTACATCAGTTTCATAGTAATGCCTTGCTCCTGAGGTACAGGAACAGATTTTATTTTTACTAGAAGACGCTAATTTCACATTTTGCTTTACCCACACTCCTCAAACCTTCCTCTGTTACTGTAATTATAGTCTACAATGGTATCTTAAGAGAAGGACCAAACATTCTTCCTTAATTTGTTTTTACTTACACTGAGCAGTTTGTGGCACTGCTAACATTGGTATTGCACCTTTGCCAGTTGTGGTCATTTTAAAGGCATTTTCGTTATCTCCTGTGATGTCTGCTGTATTGGACAGTGTAATAGAGCGTGACAAGAAAGATGAGAAGGAGAGATTGAATGTACATTATGAGCTGGGTTTGACCACAGTATTTTGAGTGAATTGCATGTGAAGCAGCCCACAGATCTAATGAGCAAGAAATTGTCATCATATACTAGTGGTAGTGTTCAGCTTAAATGAAATTATCAAATACCAGAGATCTCAGTAATGGAAAAACCTGGTGAACAACACTCTGAAGTAATGATTTGTATGAGACCTACAGAAAGAGTCATATTTTCCCATAAAAAATCGGCTTCTATAGGTTATTTATATTTGTGTCAGTGTTGAGAAGACTGGATGGTTGGTTTCAATGAAATTGTAATTAGAGACTTGGATCCTTCATGTTATTGTTCCCACTGACATCTCCTTTGTATTGCCTGACTTTTTTTCTTTGAACATCCCACATTATCTGCTGAGCACTCCAGTCTCCATTTGACCACAACTAGATGTCTGTGAAACTCATAAGATAGCCATGCTTGAAAAAACAGACCATGTTACGTTTTGTGATTAGGCTGTCAAACACACTTCCTTTTTTAGTGGAAAACAGGCAATTAGGACTAGAGCTGGATTAATATTATTTGAGACTGTAATGTTTTATTCATTTATTTGATTTATTCAAACCAAACTATTGACCCTTCACCTGCTAACCTGTCACAAGCCTCAACCTCTGGAAGGCTTTTTTTGTTGTTTTCCAAGCAATTCTAGTTTATACTGTTGCAATTTTTTCAGTGTATGCAATTCTGATTGGGACTTTGCTCGAACATCTATGCAGCAGTGGGCTCCTGTTTTACAGTACATGTCTGTTTAGAAGTCTCCAAGTGGTGTTGAAGCATAGCAACCAGGTGTCAATTTGATAATCAAGGTAGTGAAAAACATTGTGTTCTGCTATATGCATTATGGTTAAAAGATATGAGGGCAACTGAAAGTAGTTTGAGTATGAAGTAGTAGGAAATACAGAATAGTACTGTAGAGTCAAAGTATGTGGAGCAGAGGAAACGTTCATAGTGCATTCTCCTTTAAAGAGACATTGCACATGGAGAAATGAAATATGCCATGGCAATAACAGCGTGAACAGGATCTAAGCAGCAGTTCTTGCCTTTCAGCCTTTTCCTGTAGCTAGTCAGTTACTCTCTCTTACACTCACACAAGCACACACAGACTTACAGACACATCTACACTTGGATTCAAGTAGACCACCATATACATACAACCCCATCAGTGGAAGAAGATTTTGTGGAATCTTGGCAGAGTCTCTGCAGCCTCTCTGGCTCCTCTTCTCTCCACTGATTCATCCCAGACCAAGACATCTCCTCAAGCCTGTAAGGTCACACGCTGAGCACATGTCAGCACTTTGACATTATTAAAAGCCCACAGTGAAGCCTGCGGCCTGTAGGAAATCATGAATGCTACTGTAATTTCTTACCTTCTCACAGTATGCTGCCACTTTCTGCCATCTTTCATTCATTAACTCTTTTTAGCTGCCCTCATATATACATAGATACTTCAACATTATGAAGAGTATGCAACTGAGTGAAAAAACCTGTATCTATCCAGAACTACTACCCAAACTAAAGACAAGTATAGTCCTTAACTCAGTGTCTACAGGTATCCTAGTCAAGATGTTAAAGAAGGAGAAGAAACGGGCCCAGGATGCTACTGCTCAGCTTGCTAACATCACCAGTGACCAGAGCCTGGACTCCCAGAATGCCTTGAGGTTGTCAACAATGCCACTGTTGACAGAAGGAAGCACAGAAACCACCTCCACAAGCCAAGGACGAGCTATACAGTACATGAAACAAGGTACTTTAAGAAGCTTTAATTTTATGCTTGTTTTACAAAGCAATTTTTAAGATCATTTTGAATTTTAAAGATTTAGACTCCATATGTGGGACAGGGTAAAAATGTATTTCTCATAAAATAGGGTCCAAAGTGAACTGTGACATAGTTTGGATATGCAATATAGTGCTACAATTTCTGCACTTTATTTACTATTTTGTCTGTTGCTGTTGGTTATAATTTAGGTAAGCCACCCCTTTATGCCTGTTTTTCCTTATCGTGTCACAGCTAAAAGGTTCTAGATTTGAACCCTACCAGGGCCAACTGTGGTCTTTCTGTGTGGAGTTAGCATGTTCTCTCTGTTGGAGCGTTTCCTCCCACTCCAAAACAGTACTGTATAAGGAAATGTAATCGGACCACAGCACTAGACTGTGTCTGCTGACTGCTACTAAACTGTAAGAATGGGTCAGAAACATCATGTGGGGACTAATAAAACAGTGTAAATTAAGTAACACTTTCCAAGATGTTGATTCCATTAAACATGACAGCCAGTCTTTCTGAGCTGGAAGAGGCAGTGAATGTGTGATCAATTAGGTGTTGAGAGTACAAACAGGTGAATTCGCTTGATTGGAATGTGGGCAGCTCATTGTGGTCATGCTTACTTTCCGTGTGTCTGTTGAGACTGCCTGTGGGACATGACAAATCCTTGATTTCAGGGTTTTACTGCATGGCAAAGAGTCTGGCATCCCAGAGCTCATTACACCTGTGCCTTATTTCTCAGTGTTATCAGTGGGATTGCTTGTACTTGCAGATCACTCTAGATGCCTATTGTAGTCAACATTAGTCAGTACAGTATATTAAACCTACAGTATATTAAAGCTGATTATTTTAATACTTTGTGTAATACTTATTGGAATATGAAGCAGAGAGCAGGAGCCAAGAACACTGTAATGTATGTAAAAACAAAGGATAGGTACTATTCAGATCTGACCAGGATAACAAAGCTGGGCCACCAACATTTGAGAAAATGATACTTCCACATAAAGGCACCATCTCCATACTGAAATGCAATTAACTGTTGAATACCTCATTAGTTTACATTTTATATTCTATTACAAGAATTTAAGTACTCATTAAATAATGTAACTCAAACAAATATAAAAAAAAATCCTCACATTGGGGCGGTCTTGTATTCCTTCAAGCTCGGGTCCTCTACCAGAGACCTGGGAGCTTGAGGGTCCTGCGCAGTATCTTAGCTGTTCCTAGGGACAATAGCCGGGCCGCCGCATTTTGGACCAGTTGAAGTTTCCTCAGCGAAGATTGCGATATACCAGCGTAAAGGGCATTACAATAGTCTAATCGCAAAGTAATAAAAGCATGAATTGCTTTTTCTAGGTCTCCTTGGGATAAGAAAGGCTTAACCTTTGTTAAAACCTTCCTTCTTCCTGATGTTGCTATTGCTTGAGATTGCTACATCTATCGCTACGGCCTACTTCTTCTGTTTGTCCACCACTACTATGTCTGGTTGTTTGGCCATTACCAGTTGGTCAGTTTGTATCTCGAAGTCCCACAGGATCTTAGCTTGGTCATTCTCAACCACCTTTGGAGATGTATCCCATTTTGACTTCTAGCCTGTACTCGGCACAGATGTTTCTGTACACTGTGCCAGCCATAAGGTTATGGTGTTCCATGTATGCCCTGCCTGCTAGCATCTTGCACCCCACTGTTATGTACTGGATTGTCTCTGGGGCATCTTTGCACAGTCTGCACCTTGGGTCTTGCCTGGTATGGTAAACCCCGGTCTCTATTGATCTTGTATTTAGAGCTTGTTCTTGTGCTGCCAGGATTAGTGCCTCTGTGCTGTCTTTCAGTCCAGCTTTGTCCAGCCACTGGTATGATTTTGCAATATCAGCCACTTCTTCTATTTGATGGTGATACATATACATACATATAGAGGTTTGGTCTTCCACGAGGGCTCCTGCTCTTCCTTCCCTAGTTCCTCTGGTTTCTGCTGCCTGAGGTGTTCACTAAGCACGTCATCACTCGGGGCCATCTTCCTAATGTATTCATGGATCTTTGTTGTTTCATCCTGGATAGTGGCTTTGACGCTCACTAATCCTTGGCCTCCTTCCTTTCGCTTAGTGTACAGTCTCAGGATGCTGGACTTGGGGTGAAACTCACCATGCATTGTAAAGAGCTTTTTTGTCTTGATGTCAGTGGCCTCTATCTCCTCCTTTGGCCAGCTTATTATGCCAGCGGGGTACCTGATGACCGGCAGGGCGTACGTGTTGATCGCCTGGACTTTGTTCTTCCCATTCAGCTGGCTTCTCAGGACTTGCCTTACTCTCTGCAGGTACTTGGTGGTTGCTGCTTTCCTTGCGGCCTCTTCATGGTTCCCATTTGCCTGTGGGATCCCAAGGTACTTGTAGCTGTCCTCAACATCTGCTATGTTGCCTTCTGGTAGTACAATCCCCTCAGTTCTGACCAGTCGAATGGTAATAAGGAGAGGGAAGGTCGTCAGAACTGAAGGGATTGTACTACCTGAAGGCAACATAGCAGATGTTGAGGACAGCTACAAGTACCTTGGGATCCCGCAGGCAAATGGGAACCATGAAGAGGCCGCAAGGAAAGCAACAACCACCAAGTACCTGCAAAGAGTAAGGCAAGTCCTGAGAAGTCAGCTGAATGGAAAGAACAAAGTGCAGGCAATTAACACCTACGGCCTGCCAGTCAGCAGGTACCCCGCTGGCATAATAAGCTGACCAAAGGAGGAGATAGAGGCCACTGACATCAAGACAAGGAAGCTCCTTACAATGCACGGTGGGTTTCACCCCGGGACCACTTGTGCCTTCACCTTCCACATCTTTTCTAGCTCTTCTTTCAGCCCTTGGTATTTCTTGAGTATGTTCCTTTTTCCTGATGTTGCTATCGCTTAGGATTGCTACATCTATCACTACGGCCTTCTTCTGCTGTTTGTCCACCACTACTATGTCCGGTTGGTTGGACATTACCAGTTTGTATCTGAAAGTCCCACAGGATCTTAGCTAGGTCATTCTCAACCACCTTTGGAGGTGTATCCCACATCAAGACAAGGAAGCTCCTTACAATGCACAGCGGGTTTCACCCCAAGTCCAGCATCCTGAGACTGTACAATAAGCGGAAGGAAGGAGGCCGAGGATTAGTGAGCGTCAGAGCCACTATCCAGGATGAAACAAGAAAGATCCATGAATACATCAGGTAGATGGCCCCGAGTGATGACGTGCTTAGTGAATACCTCAGGCAGCAGAAACCAGAGGAACAAGGGAAGGAGTAGCAGGAACCCTCATGGAAGGACAAACTTCTGCATAGTATGTACCAAATAGTAGAAGTGGCTGATATTGAAAAATCCTACATACAACCACATACACAAAAGCTAAGACAGTGGCAATGAACATTTGATAAAACTATGTTTTTTTTTTTTTTAATAAGTGGTACAGCAGTGTGGTGGTTAGTGCTATCACCTCACAGCAAGAAGGTTCCGGGTTTGAGCCCCAGATGACCCGGGCCCTTTCTCTGCGAAGTTTGCATGTTTTTGCTGTGCCTGCGGGTTCTCTCCAGGTACTCCAGCTTCTTCCCACAGTCCAAAGAGATACAACTTAGGTTGACTGGTAACTCTAAATTTTCCGTAGAAGTGGGTGTGGTTGTTTTTCTACATGTCAACCCTGTGATAGACTGGCGACCTGTCCAGGGTGTACCCCGCCTCTCTCCCGGTGTCAGCTGGGATTGGCTCTAGCCCCCCGTGACCCTATTCAGGAATAAGCAGTATAGATAATGGATGGATGTTTTTTTATACACTGCAGCTGTACATGGGTAGTGTTTGCATGCAAATATTTATTAAAGCAACAATAGGACATGTGCTGTTTGAAAACATGTCTGAAACTGAATAAAACACACTGTCATGTTTTATTTTATGCATCATTGATGCAGCTGAAGAGAATGACACATGGCAAAGTAAAATCACAACAGCTGCAGCAGGTGCCAAACTGGGATGATGAGAGCCAGATTCCCGCAGAAAAATCGCCAAGTTAGTAGAGACTACAACACATTGCTACAACAATGCTTGGAGTATTTGGAGCCTCACTACATGTTGCCAACCTGGTATTTCATCTCCAACATGGCTATCACAGATAGACGTGTTTCTTTTGTCATCACTAAGCCTGACTGTACAGTGGATAGACTCACACTTTGCAAAAAGCAGTGCTACAGGCTAAACTGTTTTGGGGCTCTCATCATTGCAGCAACAGAGGACATGTTAAATACATGGAAAATTAAGAAGAATGAAGTCTATGTCAAATCTTTTTAAGAGACAATACTAGTAATGTAATAAAAACAATTGATCACCTTGGAGTTCCCAGAGAGCCTCACTGCACAAAAACAGGCCCTGTTTTACATAGCAGAAAACAACCTGCCAGCCACATTGACTGCAAACCAATGGGGGCTATTGGAAAAGACCATTTCAGTTCTAGCACCATTGTCAGTGTCATGTTCTCACATGAGAAAACAAGGCTGACAAGGGAATTAAAAGCATGAAAGGCACTCTTCTTTTAACAGCCTAATTGTTTAGGAGGAGGGAAAAAGTGGCACTGGTTCTGTATCGGTAGATGCTCAAGGTTGTGGTATTGGTATCGTACATGAAAAAGTGGTATCTATCACCCCTAGAACCCCCCTCAACATGTTGACTGGACAAATCGGAAATTGAACTACTAATCCTCCTGTTAGGAAACAACCCACTCTACCTCCTAAGCCCCCTTAGCTGATAGCCAGCTGCTGTTACAGTCACACTGAGAGTGCAAGTGACACATTCTGGCTACAAGCACAAGGGGTAATGGTTTGAATCCTTATATATCCTCATACTAGGCTACTGTATATAATAAATTCTCAACATACCAGTCAGTCACAAAGAATGCCAAATCAGTGTCCATTTGTAAATCCCTCTTCTAATTTCTCCATCTGCTGAAAGCCATGCCAATATAACATTATGATCTAACTCCAGTTTTGCTGGGAATTCTTATTTCTTGTCCTTCTGTTTTGTGTAACTGTCTCAGCTAACACTGAAATCAGCAGCTAACTAACTAGCCTGCAAGTTAGCCATAACAACGTCAATAACACTGAAGCGCATTCACATATTGAGTGACAGCTATGAGCTCCCCTTCTTTGATTGATTTAGTCCAATCCTGAACAAAAGCCTTCGGAAAGCAGTAGTGGAAGAAGTAGTCAAATCCTTTAGTTAATTAAAAGTAGCAATACAACAGTGTAAAAATATTCTGTTACAAGTAAAGGTCCTGCATCCATAATGTTACATAAATAAAAGTACATATGGCAGATATGATCCTTTTTAGCCTGTAATGGGAACCAGGTTGGTATGGTACTGGATCTTTTCCCAGTAGCTACTGTTTAAAATAAGTGTACTTCTCTTCATTGTAACACTTGAAAGGGTGCCAGTATACCATTTTCACACATCAGGACTCATTGACCTGCAGAGTGAGTGGATCACCCTCATTTCCCACATACAAAAATCTGAGGCAAACATTTTAGTGTTATTATTAAACTGTTTATGTTGGAGCTGAGTGTATAGATGATAATGCCAAATATGACATTGACAAACACTAAGCAATTATGACTACACTGGTTTTTTGTTGCTAGGTCACAGTGTATTGAATGTTCTTGAGAAAAATTGAATAATCAGCTTCACTAATTTCATCATTGCATTGGAGTCATGAACTGACATAGTGTTAATAGATGACATTAGTCCTACACCAGACTACACAGTGACTAAATTAGGTACTTTTGCTAACAATGTTGGTGCTATATATTTTCGTCCACTTTGTTGTAAAACACTTGCTACCTTCTCAAAAAAATCCCAGACCTGGCAGTCTCTTGCTAGCAGTTACATGTCCATTCTGGAATGTTCATCCACTTTTCTCACACTTCATGAGAAACTTCCGTCTTTCTGCTCAGTTTGCAACCAAAGCTGTGAGCGGAACACACTTCCGACCCCATCAGCTATTAGCCAGCAGGGAAAGCTTGATGTTATCCAGAGAGACTCAATACTTTGGGAAGCTTTTATGAACAGTTTGAGCAGTGGCAGGAGGATCAAAGAAGACACTTCTTACACCTCACTGTTTCTGACTTTTATTATGTGGAATCCTGGAGCACAGGGATTTTTTAAAGCACCGGATAATACTGTGGTGTCAAATGTTTTTACAAGATACTATCACATTCAGTTACAGTTTGTGTGCAAAATATTAGAAATGACTAGTTGACAGTTATTATATAAAGTACACTGTGTTATATATAATAGGTCTCAAATCTGGAGTGCTGATTTTCCATGATCTACTTGGAGAGTTACAACCAAACTACAGCATATCTACATTAGATCATTGTTCTTTGCTCTGTCCTAATTTAAAACAAATGCACCACATTTATCCTTTCCTCATGCTTGATGGGTCACTGAATATTTATGTACGTTTTAATTTATGTTTAACGTGAGGGTTTTGCTGTTGTAGCCAACAGGCTCTATGGTTACGGTATGGTCTCCTGAATATTAACTGTAAATGTAATGATGATGACCTTTTCCGTAGAATCCACTGATGTTGATTGAATGGTGTATAATCAACTTCGCTCTTTCCATACATGCATCCTTCAGTCCTGGGTTGTAAGAATAAAACATGATCATTGAGGGGTCTTTTTTGTGATGACCACTATCATTTTTGAAGCAGTCTACATGCATTACAAATTTTTAATTGCCTCTTAAAAATGGATTTGTGCACTTGAGACTGCAAACAGACTACTCTGTGTTTGAGAAGGCTCTCTAAGTTCAAGTAAATTTATTGTCTTCTTCTATGTATAGTGTCTTTTTCCTATGTTTTGAAGATTGTTTTATACTGTAGTGTAAAAAGATGGCAAATGGATGGACAAGATGTTCCTGTTGTAATTCAAACTCGTCATGACTTCTATTAAGCTTACTGGGACTGAAAGGAGGCTCGAGACTTACAGGGAGCATTAGATCTTAAAGTAAATGCATTGAGACACTGATGATTCTACCAGGTCCTCTACACGTTTCTATGATCTTTGCAGAAACCTGAGACAATAGGAACACCTCAGTAAGTTTAACAGTATTGTTCCCTACAGAAGTCCACAGTAGGAGCATGCAGCGTAAACAGATGGAACAGAATGGTTATACTTATGTTTTATGGTATTTCACAAGAGTCATGACACATTCCTCCTCTGTAAAATGGTTTGTCAACATTTAAAGCATGGAAAATAAGAATTATGAAAGTCAGCCTAAGTTCTGTGTTATCTCATTACCCCACAGATTATGTTAGTATAACATAAAATGTTGGCATATCACTCTTAGAACTCTTGGAATGTTGCTCTTTACAAGAGTCCAGTGGAGTGCATTTTTCTCAAGAAACCCCCAAATTGATTTGTTGATGTTGGCTCATGCAACATTTGCCTGTGAAATGCTTGCTGGTTTCAATCAGGACTTCCCAAAAATAAGGAAAGAAAATTCCTAACTGTCCTACAATTAATCTCACATGAGCTAGTGTCCTGTGCATGTCTTTAGTTAGAACAGCTTTATCACAAAAGTCCACTGGTTTTAAAAAGGATGGAATTTATTGAAAATCTTTGTGAAGCTTTGGCACAAGAAGTCTTTCAAAATAAGGCTGGTTTGTAATCTGTTATAATACTGGGTAATACAGAATCCAGTACAGTGTTGCTTACAGAGAAAGAGTTTGTTGAAAATGCAAAAATTGCTTTTTCTGTTATCTCCACTGTTACTTGTTTTACTGAAAACTGAATGTGTCCAGTTGAGAGAGAGTTACATAGACAGATGTATCTGTGGTTGCTTTGCTTAGCTCCAGGAAATAAATGCACAGCCTGATATCTAAGAGTTACTTTATCACAACACCACTTTTAAATATGTTCTTTGAGTCAATCAAAAGTGAAAAATAACAACACAAAATGAGGAAACATATCAGTTCTTAAGAAGAAGAAGAAGAATGAACCTCCAACATGATTCAATGTATGCATATAATCTTGGTAGGTCTGTCTCATAGCATATATTATGACATGAGAAAAAAAGCAGCTTATTACAAATATGTTCAGTTTACTGTAGGTGAGACAGTTCCAAGGCCTATAAAAAATTCGACAGTCAGCAGGATGTTTTGTCCAAAATGATGTCATTTCCTTCCATGTGGCAAGTTGCTAAACTTAGGTAGGGGGCCTTGTTCTATGTAATGCTGACATGTTCAGAATCACTGTTTTATGTTTGTGTTTATGCTCTCTCTACATCTTGACTGGCAGACTAGTAGTGCTTTGGTTTTTTAATTAGTAATAGCTGGGAGTACCCACTATCAGTGGGGCTCTAGCTGTCATCTGGCTGCCAGATTGGAGTGGAGTACCTGTGGACAGGTGAACATGTACAGCTTAGGTCTGACTTTCCACTGTGCACAGCAGAATCTGTTAGTAGATATATTTCATTGGTATGACAAACATGCAGTCTTGTTACAATGGTAAGTTGTTTATAGTATGTATTCATATAGACCTGATTTAACATGTGTTTTTAGCATGGCTTCTGAATACCTGAGTTATTAGAATACATCTGACAGTGCTGCATGTCTCAGTGCTGGATTGTTTTCTATCAGGTCTACAGCTAACTATGGGAAAGCAAGAGGCCTTTCAGACATTCATAAGAGACCATGAGGACTATCTGACCATTGAAGACAACAAGAACCTACTCAAACAGAGGTTAGTAACCAATAGGACGAGCTGTTAGATAGTGATTAATTCACATCCTGATATTACCCAAAATTCAGGCAGACTTGTTCTACAATTGGATCATTGTGGTTTTAGTTTCCAGCTGTCACTCAGTGCTATTCCCTCATATACGGTGTCACAGAGGGACATTTGAGCGGTCATTTGAAAACCATGCATAGATTGGTTGATCACACACCAATATATGCTGCACATGCAGCAACACACCACCATGAAAACATCAGTGTAGCTTTCATCGAACACATTACTGTAATTTCATTATCACTGAGATGACTGACTGAGGTAAAACCAAAATGAAAATAACCTTTCTAGTTCTCTGAGTTGCTCTTTTTTAGTGAGAGCTGTCAGTATGCCTGAAAGTGCTGTTCCTTGGCCATTTACAAGAACTTGTAATAGGCCACATTTCATATTCATTAGGATTATTAGCTCCAGCGAGGGCTGCTAGGTTTTAAAATGTATTCGATGACCTATAATTAGTAAGTGGTTGTTTCTCTTTTTGAGTAACATGCCAATGCAGCCAACAGAGACATGATATGCAGGCTAATAAACCTTTTTATGCAATATGTTTCTCCCAATTCTTCATTGTCTACAAAATAAAAGTCTTTTTGCATTGTGCATGCTTATTGTTATTTTTACCACATTCATCTTTTTTGATGCTACCATTACTCATTAACAATCTTTTGAACAGGTCAGCTGAGGCCAAAACACTCGGGGCACAACTGAATGAAGCTAGAAACAGAATCAGTAAGTTGTCTCACCAGATGGAAGTTGCCTTTCAGACATTCCAGTACATTTTCCATAGGAACTATGAACACATTCAGTTCTACATTTCAAATACACTGATAATTTCAATTCACATGCTTTGTGTCCCATAACACACCAGCCGACTTGCCTGGAAAATGTTAATGAGCAGGTGACTGATGGGGTTCTGTTTCGGGTGTGTAGAAATGGCATTCGGCACTTTCCTAAACATTGACAGTGCTGAGAGGCACTCTGATTTCCTCCTACCTGGTCTTTAATCCTGTACTATTTACCAGCCTGTCTCTTATGATGACTCTGCAAGCACACCCCTGTGTTCTTCACGGTAACATCCTAGATATGTACAATATGGACTAAAGTGCGTGTCAGCACTGACACCATGGTTAATCCATCAGCCTGTTAATTGTTTAGTTAAGATTTAAAAGATCATTCAGAATGATCATAAAGAATCATTAGAAATGTGTCCAAACTGATTTGAAGTGAATGTAAAGTGACTATATTTAAAAATTTATGATCATCAGTTTCTGTCACAGGGATACAAGACAAGCAATGTCACCAGAGGCAGTAAGTTTAAATTATTTGACTGTACAGTGGTTGGATTTTCCAGCAAACTCGGAGCACTTAAAATGTCCTATTTGAGGTTGATCTGGTTTGCATTTTTTTTTATTACAAACTACATTTATAAATTTCCCTGGACCGTGTGTGTTTGTGGCTCATTTTACATACCAGTGAAATAGATAGGTTTACCTCACACCAGTGTCTGGCATTATCACCGCCTCACATCACGTTTGGTGGTTTTGTATCATTTGCCTGTTAGCCTCATACATGTCAGCGTACACTTACCAGCCTTGAATTATTTTTTTTTCAGGATTCAGTCTGTGAGGTGCTGACTCAGCCATGTATCAGAACTGTCACAGCTCACACAAAAATCAGCTATGACATGTAGAATGTGTTCAGCAGACTCCATCACTGTGTGGGTATAATGTGGAGTAACTGGATTGTGACTAATTTAACACAACTTTACTGATGAGACTTTGTAACCAAATTCTTCACCTTATTGCAGTTTGGAAAAATCCCCCCCCCCTCAAAAAAAGATTGATGATTGATGCTGTCAGATATTATTACACTGTTAGGTGCATGGAGTTGCTTTCTTCCTAAATGAGAGACAGAGTTTTCAGTGGAATGTGATTGCCTCTTTTGGTTGGAATGTAGTACCATAGTATTTAGTTCAGAATCCTTCCTTGCCATCTTGGAAGCCCTGCTTGGAAATTTTACACTATCTGTGTCTCGTGGTTAATGTAGAACATGGAAACAGTTAGTGCAATATAGAAAAAAGTTATAGGGTCAGTAGCCGTGTCATCACATCAGTGTCTAACCATTTCTCTGGTTTACAGTATTTGTCCTGGCCGCAGGATATGGAATCCAGTCCCACTGAATGTATGGTCCATACGTTCCCAGCCCTTAGATTCAGAAAGTTCAAGCATACTCATCTCAACTCAATTTTATTTGTATAGCACTCATTTCAAGCCTAATGGCAGCTTGAGATGCTTTACATACAGGACAGGCAGAAAAAAAAAATACAATACTCTTCAGTAAGTTAGTTAAAAACAGCATTTAAAAAAAATCATTAAGCAATGAAACAGTAAAACATCAAGTGCAGTAGATATTTATTCAGAGGGGTCAGCGATGCACATCTGGTAAAGCACGAAAGGTGTATGGCAGCTGGAAATGTGTCTTTTCTCTGCCAGATGTCCGGCGTGAAAAAAGAGAAATGGTGGACTGCTGAATTTACAGAACTGCCATTAGTATATATTACAGAATTGTTTACATTTCTCTTCTCAACATAGCTTTTTGGTTGTGTTGTGTGTGTTGTTTATGGTACATTCTGCTGATACTGTTGTGTTTTACTGGCTATTTTTAGCTAATTTGAAAAGGGGGTCTACCTGCATCTAAAGTGTCTTTGATAAAATTGGATTGTTTGTATTATGTATAGTACCGGGTTATATATTTATCCTTTTTTATTGTTGTTAGAACTTCACAATTGCAATGTCTGCATTCATGCTAGGAGTGGCTATGGCCTCAGGCAGCACTGTCTTTGACCCTAGCTGTCTAATAAAAACACGGGTTTGTTGAGTCTAACTCTCAGATCAGCCTTTTTTACATCTGCTTTTATATAGTTTGATATGCAGCTCTTGCAGTTGTAGCTTGCTATTAGTTAAGTTATTTTTTGAATTAATTCTTCATATACACTTGAATCATCCTCACCCACTCAGATAATGAGAAGCTGCATAGCATGTACATGTACCATATGATGTTTGGCTCCTGAATTCACTGTGGTATTTGTGCGGCAAAACATATTTATAATCCAGACCACAAAAATCATAAAATATCTATTGAGGCTTGTAGCTTGAAACCGGTCCATCAAGACAATGGCACGTCTCCTGATAATGTGGGGGAAAACCCTGCATGGTTTGGAAGTGACTGCATTGTTGAGCCCACAGTCTTGTTCTGGAAAGGGCTACTGAAGTGTAATGAAGTATTATAGCAAGCCCACCGCACACCACTCTTTCAGTACATGACACGTATATAGCTTTATCTTTTTGGAGTTTTTCTTGTCAGTGAGGTTCAGGAATATTATCTCTGTCTTGACCAAAACGTTTATTATGTTTGACTCCAAAATCATCACTGTGTGTATTTTTAGTAGTGTGTCCAACAGCAGTAAAGTTTATTCTCACTCAGTAATATTTAAGATTACATGCACAACAGAGTACATGTGCATTAGAATTGTTACAGTACATTACTATCTAGTCACAAAGTACATCTATATATTGTGCTATGATCCTGACAAATATACTGTAGATCATCCTAATGTACAACTGGACTTGGGGTTGTGGAAAATCTCCAGTACATGCCATGAATGGTGTGAGCCACGTGGCATCTTCTTTATCTTGTTGTCACAGGCTCTCCACACTTTTTCACCATGTCAACATAGCAGAGTCATGGCATAAATATTTCTTAAGCCTTTTATGTTATTAAGACAAAAGGAGACTATCGATCAGTTAGTGGTGGAGCATGTTTGAGCTGTGTCTGTGAGAGAAGACTCGGGCTGTCCACCTGACCATAAAGTAAAGCCACAGGGTATCTCAGTTCATTTACATTCTGACTTTGACACATGGTTGTGTGATGGGTTGCCAAACCCTGTTTCATATACCATAGCATTAAGAAAAACATTGTCATCATGGGCACATTATATGTCTCTGTGTGTCACTTATTACATTTCAAATAATCCATTCCCATCTACATTGTCTACTCTAACCCCAAACACTATAGTACTTAAAAAGGTGTTTGCAAAGAGTTTTGAAAGATGAAAGATGGGTTGATCTGTGTTTTAAAGCATTCAGCAGTGGAATGCCAAAAGCTGATGTTAAACTAAAACTATTGCTATAGTTTATTAAATCCTGGATCTCTATGAGACTCAGCTTTACTCAGGGTCACTTTAGTGGAACAGATGTTTGTCTTTGCTTTCAGTGTGTTTGTCTTCTCTATGATGAAACAGGAGCTCTAATCCAAGGGTTTTATGACACCTTTAGAGGTGTTGCATAAAAAGGTAGCTGGTTTTTCATTTTTGGACCTTGGCTTTTACTGTGGTGACAAGCTCATATTACAGAGAGAGCAACAACTCTGCACTGTCTATATGTATGTGTAAAGGACCCAAGAGACTGTAATCAGAGTTTACCACCCAAGCTACTGTCATTCAGCATCTCCTTTAAGTTTTTAAATTCTCTGGTTATTCTGGTCAGTCACCTAAATCATTATCTGACACTTGAGCCATTTCCTTTGATCACAGGGGAAAATCTTCTCCTTTAGTAGTCTTATAGTAAACATAGTATAGTAAAACCCCTCAGTGTTATAAAGAAACTAGTTTGATCATTTGGTGTAGATAGAAGTGGACTCAGATCAGTCTTATACACTATGTTTTAGTCCATTTTCTTTACAGTTGCCTTTTGCCACTGAAGCATTGCATCACAAATCCAATAACTTAATTAGGGCAAATAACTTCTTTAAATAGGGGAAGACAGACAGGGAAATCAGAAAAGACAGACAAATTATTTATACATACAGGTATGTTATACATATATACACAAAAAGCCACCTTCATGTTGCTTCCAGGGTCACTGGAATCACAAGAGTTCATTCCTGAGAAATGCAGAAGTGTGTAAGTGTGTGTAGTATGTCTAGTCTTAAGACAATCTTATTCAACAGCCTAAATGATGAGTGGAAGAACTGTAAATGATATGGCTTCAAAGCAGTAACAGTTTGTTTGTCTAAACAGAAAATAGATGACCCAGTAACACTGAAAAGCACATTATGGTGGTCAGCTGAAAACCAGCTTACTTCAAACATCACAGGCATTTTGCAGTAGTTATCCTGTACAGGATGCAGAGAAGTGGACCTTCTGCACTACTTGCAGTACATTACTGTGATGCTTGAATGGCTCCTGTGGGAAATATCTTATGAATGGCTGAGCCCTGCGATGGATTGGCGACCTCTCCAGGGTGTACCCCGCCTTCGCCCGATTGCTGGCCGGGATTGGCTCCGGCCCCCCCGTGACCCCGTTCAGGGACTAAGCGGTAGAAGATGAATGAATGAATGAATGGCTGATGCTGAATAAAAGAACTGGTGTTTAGAGCTATCGACTGACTTTAGCTTATTGCAGATACACCGTATCTGTTTTGTATATATGTTTGCTGATAAGTTAAAAGAAACTGGTGTACAGTACAGAAACGCCAAACTAATTCTGTGGGTCAGCTCCTAACCGGAAGATTAGCGGTTCAATTCCCGGCTTGTCTAGTCGAAGTGTCCTTGAGCAAAACACTGAACCCCCAGTTGCTCCTGGTGTGAATTTGGGAGTGCAAATGGATAAATGTCCAAGTAGTGTGAAAGTGCTTTGAGTGTGCTGCAATGCATAGAAAAGCACTGTACAAGTATAAGACTGTTTACTATTCATGTAAACACAAGTCACCATTACATAGCTTGTACTCCAGAGAGCAGTGATAATTTGATTTTTACTTTGATAATGTCCTGATAAGTATGTATCTTGGTCACTGTTTCTGAAAAACACAGGTTTAAGGGATTTGCATCAAGATTGTCTGTTTGAGTCATTTGTCTTTCTGAAAGACACAGGTTTAAGGGATCAAGATTGTCTGTTTGAGTCATTTGTTTATATTATAAACTATTATATATTGTTTAGCTCCGAAATATCAATATAGACTGTTTTGAATGCCTAGGATCTGAACAACTATTATAGTGCTTTGGGCTGTTTTATCATTTCCTTACAAATATCACTTGTCAGGAGGCACTATACTTAATGCCTGCAGTAGCAATGCAAATGCCAGTACATGTTTGGTCATACATAAAGTTCTAAATAGGAACATATTATTCACTGCCAAAAATCACTTTGCTAAGAATTTGATCTGTGCATTTATGCATAATAAAAGATGTTCTTGGTCTTTTTAATGTATATTTTAATGACTTTTCAAATCCAGGTTTCTTGCCTCTGTCTTTCTCAGATGAGCTGAAGAAACAGTTAGAGATGCGAAGAAGGCAGAAGGCAGCTCATGGTAAGATCAAGCTGATGATAGATTCTCCCACAGCAAAACTTTAACCATGTGTGTATAGAAGAGCAGTATCATATCCAGCTCCATCTACCCACATCAACTGATAAACAATGGACGCTTGAAGCAGTTAAAGCATCAGTGATGATTTGAAATCTATTTGTAAATTTGTCAGACAGGTAATCCAGGTTTGCGTGTTGACTCTTCAAACATCAGCTGAAAGGATGAACAAAGCTGTCACAAATGGAAACCTTTTGATGCTGAACTCCTTTCAGAATGGGGTGGTAAACAGTTTGAGCACACTGTGGATGCTCTTGCACTTTACTGTATGTGTAGCAGTGCCCACTTAAAAGCCTTTGCAGTAGGCCTTTATGACTGAAGGCTTAGTGACCACAGACTGTGCGACACAACTCCAAGACTCCTTCATTTTTTCTTTTCTGACTTTTTTTTTTATCAGTGACATAAATGCTTTGATGAGAATATCTGGTTGTAAAGCACACAAACGTGTCCCTCTAGTTCAGGCGCCAAAGGCTTTTCTTGTTATTTTGAGTTCAGCATCAGAGAAAATGTCACAGCAGACTGGCTACTGTTAATCTGGGCCAGTATTTAAAATGCTGAAGGAAATGCAGTAACATATGGACAGCACAGACATACCTGTTTCTGGACTTTAAAAAAAAAAGAAAATGTTATGACAATATGAGCAATATTTGTGACTGTAGCTACAGTGTGTCCATATTGTTAACCTGTCATAGTCTACTGTAGGTGTAATGAGGAATCACACAGAGTCTGAGGAGGAGGTGGACCCACTGGAAGAAAACCTGTGCAAACACATTGAGCAAGAAAAATCAGCGTGAGTATAATAAAAGTGCATTTTAATGTATTACCATACCAAATGTTTTTATATTTTCTCCCAAGACCCTGCTCAGAACAATTAGACACAGGAGATGCTGTGTAATGTGGACAACAATGAATTTGGTGCTGTTAATGTCTCCTATCAGCTACAAGAGCACCATCGGCCGTCTAAAAGCGCTGAGGACAGAGATTGAGCACTTGCAGCTGTTGCTGGAGAGGGCAAAGGTCAAGTTGCAGAGGGACTTCCATAAGTGGTGGAACGAGGAAGCTTGCAGTGTGCAGGTGACTGGCCTCACCTTCCTCTGCCTGTCAGTGACAAAACCAGTACAGCTCCTGGCCAGACAGACACGTCAAAAATACTGTATGTTTCTGACATTAGACAGGAAGGATCATCTGTTCATTTTTGTCACTATATTTATAGATATTTTCTTTTGTGCATTTTCTGAATAGTGGCCTCTATGGACATGTGTCTCTGACTTTGGAGACTTTTATGGTACCAGTGTGACCCTTGCTCTGTTCAACATCATCCTGAATGGGCCCTGGTGGGAAGCTATGTAGAGGCAAAAACACAGAAACATTTAGTTACACAGAGTCTTAAAAAGAACAACATGTTGGTGAGGTTTCACAGCAACATAGCGGAGGGATAATAAATAATCACTTTGTGTTTGTGCTTAAATACTTAAGAGATGTGTGCAGTATGGTGACAGAAAATTCATAGATTATAAATTACACTGACATAAAAAGAACCACTTCTCCCAAAAGCTTTGCTTGGCCTTGATGACTGTTGTGCACATTTTGGAAACCAACCACAAAGCAGCAACATCTGACCAGCAGACACTGCTGGCATCTGCTCCTTGGTTTTGATCTTATGAATGGAGAACAATATCTCACTCACATCTGAGCTTGTTTCTCAGTTTGGGAATTTATTGCTGAATGATGCAGAGGAAGTCTGACAGACAGTCTTTACATTTGCACTTTTGGTCTTCCAAGCAGGAAGCAGGACGTTTCCTGGCCAGTGCACACTGTACACAACTGGTTTATTCTGTTTTTGAAAGACAGTACACATGTACCATATCTGATTGAGCTTGAAGTAAGAGGTATGAGGGACATGAAATAGTTCTTCTGTCCCGTCTAGCTGTAGGTTGTGCATGGTCACATGGTGTTTAACTGTCATCAGCATTGAATAGTGTTTCTGTTTGGAAGTGCTCCAGAATATTTTCTTTGATGTTTGTTTTTTCCTATGCTTGTGATTAGAACTGTGAGTCAGAGGCCACAGCCAGATGTCACACAGGGTCGCCAAGTGAAACCTTACAGCCATCTTCACCTGGCACTCCAGGATTTGGGTGAGACAGTTTCTTTGTGTTTCATGCGCACGCTGACTCTTCCCTCCTTCCATCCCTGCAGCAGATATGCATTTGCCCTTGTTAAGAGGGTGGATGATTTCTTTTAGATGTAGTGGTTTGATTGTCAGTAGGCATTCATTTCAGGTCTGTGCTGAGCCAAGCCATTTGGTTACATACAGAAACAGCTACATCTTGTCTTTACTGACTAATTTGTGTTCCATTCTTTAATGTTATTTTTATTCTTTCACCAGCTGTGTTTGAAAAGCACTTGATTAATGTCCAACAACCTGAAGCTTCTCATTGCTTGTTTTATGAAACAAATATTGAGCAAATGTTGGCTGTCTTCACTACTGAGACTGCAGCAGGATATCTGCAGGTCTTGAGAAGTCTTGGGAAGCACAATACAGTGCTGTATTTATCCAGTATAGTTGGATAAGAAAGCCATTGAAGCTATTTAAAGTGTGAAATCTTATTTTACAAAATTTCTCTTACCTGTTGCAGGTACATTGCAGTAATGTTTGTATTGTGAAGTATTCATTGTCACAGACACTATAACACATTTAGTTGTGATAGAAGAGATACAGTAAGGGGAGGCTGAGTTCTGATTCATGTCATTAACAACATGAAATGCAGCCATACCTACAAAATCTGAGCATATGTGCTTAACTCTGCATTTGTGGGAATATGCACATAACCATTATTGCTGATAGGCATGCTCCACAAAAGAATTATAGAACTAAAAACAAAGTTGGTTCTTGATTTTGTCCACAGCTGTCCAGTGCATTGCATAGCAGAGACAAACGTTGGTCATCCAGTGCCTTTAACTTTTAAACAGCTGAGTAATAATGGCACTGCCATAATGAGAAATTACAACCTGACTGCTCTGTCTACCTGCCATAATAATTCCTCCAAGTTCTGGAAAATTACAACATCACTGAAAAAGAATACAAAGTCATATCTCCCACCACAAATCAAGTTAGATTCTTGTTTTATTTCTGATAGACTGCCAGTTGTGGAAGCTTTAACCATTTGTCCTTTTCTATCATCTGGTTTTCTATTGAGAACATGCATATCAGCTGATTTAGCTGTAGACAATTTTCCATGCTGACCACCAGAGGGTGCTCCTGAGAGAAGGTTTTCTTTCACCATCGTCACTAGTGCAGAGGATTATGAAGCACTGATGAGAACAGAAATATCCAACTGTCAGATAATGGCAATCCCTGCCTTCTTGCCCCTTGTTCCCACTTAGCACACATCTTTCTTCAGTCTTTTTTTTATAATTCTTGCCTCATGGAAAAGCGCCTTTGTCATGCCCCTATATAAGAATGGGGATATCAGCGATCTGAACAGTTACCAGTTAATATCTTCGTTAACTGTCAGTTACATGCTTTTATAGTCACAACACTGGTTTTTTGCCTTGGTCATACTAAAATTACATCTGTAGTTTCAGTAGTCCCCACAATCATCTCCACTCTGGATAAAAAAACACTGCTGTGCTACTCTCTTCATTGATGTTTGAAAAGCATTTGATACTATTAATCATAAAATCCTATTTAATTAACTACATTTCACTCTCAAGTGGTTTCATGCAGAACTCAAACTGTTGTTGCCAATGCTGCAGCATCACGTCTACTTATCATCTGCTGTAGTGTGTCACAGGGGTCTGTTGTTAGTTCATTCATTACTACTCTGCTATGAAACCAAAAAAACCTTGTAAAAATAATCAAAAAAATAATAAAAATCCAACAAAACAATAAATCTTATAAATTCTTTCACTTGGCAACAGATTGTCATTCACATTCAACAATTAATGCAGAATTTAAAAATTAAATTAGGGCCACTGTACAGGATTCAAGGTTGATGTCATTTTAAACTCGTAATACTATAGTTCAGTCATCTTTTATGTTTGCACTTGATTATGGTGATTTTCTGCTCAAAAGGTTAGAATGCAAACTACTTATTACCAGTAAACAGGTTCAGCTATTGATTTTTGTTGTGAATTAAATTTATCGTATGTGTTAATAAGCATATTTACAGATGGTAATGCTAGAACATTCTTCATAAAATGTTTTTTTAACTTACTGTATGTAGTGAACCTGATCTGAGCAGCACTGTGAGAGAATACCCAGCAGGCAGAGACCCCAGTCCAGACTGCTCCACCTCCTCTGTTCAAGAACTCAGGTCAGCCTAGCTTCACTTAATCACTTTCCTAACGAGTAGTACTGCATGTCACACTTTATGCTTATCATCATAAATTGTAATGATTTCATTTTGTGAATTTCAGACGCTTCATCCCCAAAAGCACACCTCCCTTGACAGCTGTTCCAGCATGGCATGATAAATCTCTAGATGGGACAGTGACTGACCTCACTCCTTCATTTGGATGGAGGTACATGAAGGGCAGGCTTGGCAAGATGGAAATTAATGAATGGCTTTGGAAACAACATATATGTTTTTGTTTGTTATTTTTTATTACATTACAGCACCTAAATTAACCAGTGTTTCCATCTCATCAGGCCTTTCTCCATCCTACATTCAGTACTTTCAACATTACATATATGCTTTTGTTCATCTTCACCAACCATGTATGACACAAAGATTTTATTGTTTTATACACAGACTCCATGATATGACTGGTCTGCTTTTCTGTTAGGCTTTTGGCATAAGAACAGTTAAACATTTTACATTCCCACTCCAACCCCCAACTCAACTTTGAGCACCATAAAGTCCTAATTTGTAATAAAGAATTTGTGAAAACTAGATGCTGATATTATATTAAATGAAAGATATTTACATTTCAGGGCTCTTTCCAGCACCAAGCTCACACCCTCCTCCATTCCACTGACTGGAGACCAGAAGGCCGATGCTGACATCCTGGCCTTTGTCAATGCCAGGCAAAACCTTCTGAACAGGACAGGTAACACACAAATCTAGAAGTAATTGACCTTTCAAACACTATGCATTTAGCATTCAACACTGTCCCCTGGTGGTGTGATTCAGAATCAGCTTTATTGAACAAGTATGTTAAACACACAAGGAATTTGACTCTGGTACATTGACTCTGTATGTGTTTCCATGAGACGGCAAGAAAAAAAAAAGTGTATTTAAATACGAAAAAAAATTGGGGAAAAAAGTCAAAACAATTTATTAATAAATATACATTATATACTGTATGAACAATGTGACAGAAGAGCTTTCAGATGAGTATTTACAATGCAATTGCTGATTGCCCAGCTGCTGGATGCGATTTTCTCCAGCCTCATCCGCTGCTTCACAGGAAGTACATCCTCTACTGTGGTGCTGATGTTGTTCGACCACTTCAGGTCCTGAGAGACAATGGAGCCCAGGAACTTGAAAGTCTCCACTGCTCAGACAGTGCTGCTGAGTATGGTGAGGGAGGCCTCCTCCTATAGTCCACTGTCATCTTCACAGTTTTGAACATGTTCAGCTCCAGGTTGTTGCGACCACATCACAGGACCAGCTGTTCAACCTCCCATCTGTAGGCTGTCTTGTCACTGTCTCAGATGACACCAATGACCATAGTGTCATCTGGGAACTTCAGGAGTTTAACAAAGGGGTCCTCTGAGGTGCAGACAATGGTGTAGAGGGAGAGCACACATCCCTGAGGGACACCTGTACTGATAGTCTGGGTGCTGGATATGGTTTGTCTGGGATAATGGTGTTGAATGCTGAGCTGAAGTCCACAAAGAGGGCCCGTGCATAGGTCCCTGGGGAGTCGAGGTGTTGCAGGATGTAATGCAGTGTTGATTGCATCGTCCACTGACCTGTTTGCTCAGTAGGCGAACTGCAGGGGTTCAGCAAGGGGTCTATGATGTACTTCAGGTGGGCCAACAACTGTCTCTCAAAGAACTTCATAACTGCAGATGCCAGTGTGACAGGTCTGTAGTCATTCAGTCTGCTGATGGAAGGTTTCTTGGGAGCCGGGATGATGGTGGAGCATTTGAAGCAGGAGGGGACTTCACACAGCTCCAGTGACCAGCTAAAACATATGGGTGAAGATGGGGGCCCGCTGGGCATCACAGGCTTTCAGACAGGAGGGAGTTACACTGTCTGGACCTTGTGCCTTCCTGATCTTTTGTCCCTGGAATAGCCCAGGCAATCCTTCCTTTCAACTCATCACCTCACAAAGTTGACTCTATATGAATATTGGTGACTTGTGTTGAGTTTTTGAGAATTGTATTTAATACAGTATACATGACATTTATGTGTAGCTTCAGATGATTTGAGATTGATGTTGCTTTGTCTAGCAGTAGTGCATGACAAGTAGAAAATTCTTTTATGTGCGAGATCCTATAATTCACCCAGTGTTTTCGACACAAACCGGTCTCACTAAATGTCCTCACTATAGCAGCATCGCCTCTTGCTCCACATCCAATCACTCATCTTTTGTTCTTATGTGGTTTCCACACTTACACATTCTATCACTCTTCTTCTGGCTCTTCTCCTTTGACTCTTGTGTAGCTGCTTTACTTTGGCAGATGGTAAAGTTGACTTGGCTTTGCCACTGGATATCCAGACCAGCTGAGGTCATGTGAACATGCGACCAGAGAACAGTGGCCAAATGAGCAGAGACACCAGACAGAACAACAGTCAGGCTGAAGTTTACCCTTTGAAATCTGTTTCCTTTCTTCCTTCAATCTAGCCAAGGAAGGCTCATCTCATGCCTCTCCTTTTGGCACTACTAAGCTGGAGAAAGCCCCTCTACTTGGGTGTTTGGTAACTCTTGTGTGGTGCTGTTCTTTCAAAAGTAGATTTTTGGCAACAAGTGTATGCTGGGAAGTGCAGGGAACCTGGCATAAAGAAACAGAAAATATCAGTTCAGAGTGGAGGCTGTTATTGTAGATGAGGTCATAGTCTAGGAATATGACTGCAGTTTAATTGTAAGAGTTATTACTTTGAAAGTCTTTGAGTTTTAAAGGTTTAGTTTAGTTTTAAACCTTATCTATTTACAGTATAGATGTATTTATTTATCTATTTCAGGTCCACCTCAGCAGTGATATGAAGCTCTGGGGAAGACCTGAGCTTATCATCATCTGACTGTTAGTGCAACCTCCGCATCTGCCAGGTGATAATATGATCCTGAAAATCCAAAACATATCAAGTTTCACATAAAAAAAGGACTTTTGCCAAACACACACCACATATCCTGTCTCATTCTCACATGTACGCACTCACATGTTCACACTCACACACACTCTTGTTGACCTCCTGGAGATACAACAGGCAGCGGTATAAATCACAGCCTGCACAGGCCATTTGATCTGAACAAATATTGTCTCAAGATATCAGAGGAAGGAGCAACAATAGGAAACCAGTTGGCACCAAAACATATTTAAGGATCTAATGAATCATGGCTTTTTAAATGATCAACATGCAGAATGACAAACATATTTCTATATTCTGCAGGTAACAAATGTTGTATAAAATGTTGTAAATAGATGTTTAATCTACAATGTGGCTGTTTATTTCAGATATTCTGTTAAAAAGTAATGTTTCTCTTAAAATATTGAATCAAAAATGAGACTGCAAAATAAAATGTCAACTGCCAAACGTTTTACCGAGGTACATTGTTTGTAGTTATTGTATTAGCCCTTTTTAAATGACTGACTTTTCCCGTGTTTGTGGCACAGGCAAAAGCACAGTATCAGTTGACTCCCCCCAAGTCCATCCTGTGGGTCTGTACACAGTAGGATGTCGTTACCATATGACATAAACTCTAGTTTGTTTTCTTTCATTATTAATAACACTGTCTTTCTCATAGCTCTTCCTTTGCTATTTAATGTCTTGCAAATGGCATTTCTAGTGTGGTGGCTACTGTGGCTTACTGTTCTATGGAGAATTACTCAGGAAATGGACTCCCTGAAACTTCAGATACATGGACACCTACGACTGTTGGTTATGTAAGTCATGGCCAAAAATCTTGGCACCCGTGCATTCTGTCAGATAAGGCACCACTTCTCCCTGAAAACTCTTGCAATCACAAATTCTTTGGTATTTTCATGTTTATTTCTTTTGTCTGCGTTGGAACAACAGAAAATAGCCAAATCTGATCCATTCCACACAGAACTTCAAAAATGGACTGGACAGAATTGTTGACACCCTCAACTTAATATTTGGTAGCACATCCTTTGGATAAAATAACTCTAATCAGTCACTTCCTGTAACCATCAGTGAGTTTCTTCCACCTCTCTATGGGAGTTTTGGACCACTCTTCTTTTGCCAACTGCTCCAGGTCTCTCAGATTTGAAGGTTTCCTTCTCCCAGCTGCTGTTCTGAGATCTCTCCACAGCTGCTCTATGGGATTTAGATCTGGATTCATTGCTGGCCATTTCAGAACTCTCCAGCTCATTGACTGAAACCATTTCTGGTGCTTTTTGAAGTCTGCTTTGGGTCATTGTCCTGCTGTAAGACTCATGAACTCTGACGGAGACCCAACTTTCTGACACTGGCTCTACATTGCACTCCAGAATTCATTGGTCGTCTTCAGATTTCATAATGCCATACACACAGTCAAGACATCCAGTGCCTGAAGCAGCAAAGCAACCCCAGAACATCAGTGAACCTCCATCGTGTTTGACTGTATGGACCGTGTTCTTTTCTTTGAAGGCCTCATTTTATTTTCTGAAAACAGTAGAATGATGTGGTCAGCCAAAAAGCTCTACTTTAGTCTTATATGTCCACAGGACATTTTCTCAGAAGGCTTGTGGCTTCCTCAGGTCAGTTTTGGCAAACCTCAGTCTGGCTTTTTTATGTTTCTGTGTCAGCAGTGGTCTCCTACCATAGTGTCCCTTGTCATCCAGATGGTGAAGGATAGTGCACGTTTGCACCCTGTGCCTGTAGGTCAGCTTGAATTAGTTTGGAAGTTGATCGAGGTTCTTTATCCACCATTGGAATAATCTTTGTTGCAATCTGTCATCTATTCTTCTCTTTCGTCAACATCCAGGGAGATTAGCTACAGCGTCATGGGCTGTAAACTTCTTGACAATGTTGTGCACATCAGACACAGGAACAGCCAAATCTCTGGAGATGGACTTGTAGCATTGAGACTGGTCATGCCTTTCCACTATTGTGGTTCTTAAATTCCCAGACAGTTCTTTGCTCTTCTTTCTTTTCTCCATGCTCAGTGTGGTCCACACGACACAAAGACTGAGTCAGTGTTTCTCCATTTTAACTGGTTGTGAGTGTGTTGTTCCGATGCAAACAAAAGAATTAAACCTGAGGAGCCTGAAGAATTTGTGATTGTAGCAACTTTCTGGGAGAAGTGGTGCCTTATCTGACAGAAATGCAGGTGTGCTAACATTTTTGGCCATGACTCTAATCATCATTGGTAATACAGACCATTTATAGTCAGATTGATTCCACATTACAACATCATCCTAAAGGTTGTAATGAAGAGCTGAAGAGGTTCCTTTGCATAGAGTATTGAGTGATCATTCAGTGAACAGTCATTTTTGGATGCTCACAGTCAACATTGGTAATATTTTATTTGATAGTTCAGTATAGATAACAGCAGTCAAACTAAGTTACATTACGTTGATTAATAGATTTGGATTGGCCCATTCTCAGTCTAGTATGTAACTGGTCTACACAAAACCTAAAGTGAGACCATTTATTTTGATGAGCATTTTAACTCCATATTTATGCACAGTTACTGCTGAGTGAGTGACAAGTAAACTGTAATTAGCACACAGTTTGTAGTATATGCACTGCCTCCTCACTACATGTATTAATCATTCTGTTTCATTAAACAGTAGTTTCATCCCACTGTCTCAGTCACTATAGCTGTCATTATCTGCTGGTAGTCAGTCACCTCAGAGCCATCGCTACACACCCACCTGAACAGAGACAACATGTGACCTGTTTGAATGGCTTTGCATTGATTTGTTTGACTGATGCCAAGCAGCTGCGCAGTTTGACTCCAGGCAGAGTTGTCTTGGAGAAACAGCCTTCTTTTGATAAGTCAGGATACAGTATCTATTTTCTCAGTCACATTAGTGACTTTGTTTTTCACTATAAATAGCATCATTAGTGTCTAATTAAGTACATAACTCCAAAATATATGCATATCAAACTGCTTAGTGCTAGTGTGTTGTCTCTTTCAATACAGGGAACTTTTTTTTTCTTAAGACGTATGGCACAATATTTAATTTTTTCACCAAGTCCACTGTCACATATACTGTATGTCAGAAAAAATATAGTCTTTTTTATGAGTGTCTTTTGATACAATGTTCTGATAAATCATCAGTGTGAAAACAATGTGACAATATGAAAGGGGAAAGGGGTTCTTGTAAGGAATGATCCCATTGGTCCCCTGCAACTCTCCGCTGTCTTATGGCACTTACAATAAGTTGGAGCTCATTATTTACATTTTCTGGCTCATAACTTTACTGCTTGGTTTACTTTCCCCACTCATGCAGCTTTTGATCACAGCAAGAAACAGCTGTTTTCAGGCAAAAGAGCGCTACAAACCCACTTTGCACTACCTTCTCAGCGCCTAACAGCAGGCAGACACAGCTAAGAAATAGCTGTTGAAGATAGTGGGACTTCTTAAAGTCGAGGATTCAGATATGTCACTCAGGAGCTGGTAGAGACCAAAAAACAGAGCTAAAAAAGAATAAATATTGAACTTACCTTTTCCAGGTGAACAGAAACATGACACCAAGTGAATGATAATGTTGATCTATAACTACTGGATGTGTAAATAAGGCAATGAAATGTCAATGCTGTGTTCACAAACGGATCTATCTGCCCCTTAGTGGCCAAAAAATCAATCCACTATTGCACATTTAAATTTCAAATATCTACTTTTTGTTCAATTATTCATGCAACATTGGCAGAACATATTACTATTCACCATATGTAGAGTGATGTGCAACAGTTGAAGAAGTCTGTTGTCTCCTGGCTATAAATACTGTATGTAGAGTGATGTGCAACAGCTGAAGAAGTCTGTTGTCTCCTGGCTATACTGTTACACCTTTTGGAAAGTTTTTAGTGACTTGTGACATCACTCAGACCTGGATTGAAAGGTTCTACTATAGCTGACTTTGCTAAAGTCAGTGTTTTTCTTTCATCCTGTCAAACATTTTTAACATGCTAGCTTCATAAACACTGAAGCCACAGAACTCTATTAAACTCTCTGGAGACTTCTTTCAACTCCTTGGATTATAACCTACAATCAAGTAGTGTTATCCATACCCTCCAAAATGTCATCTGCTTCCTCTCCATCAGACCATAGATATGTCTGGCTCCTGAATGCTGTGGAAAACCTCTGATTGTTCTAGCAGACCCCTGGCGGGTATGAATAATGGAGCTTTTATACTGATGAGATTTAAAAGTGTCCATACTGAATTAACTTGACATGTCTCAGGTTGTGGCACCATCATTATTTGAACAGCAATCTCTAAAAAGCTCAGGAATCCAATCATTTTGCTTGATTGAATTGTTTTGTTCAGGGTTTCCAATTCAAAGACTATAAATACTCCCCACAGTCCAGAATCCTGTTGAAGGCTCAGATACTCCACGACTGTGGGTACTCAAACCACCACCAGCACTCAGGTAAAATATTAACTTTTGTTCTGCTGACAAGATGTTGCCACCACTTCCTTATTAGTGGAAACAGTTGAAAGTGTGTGTGTATCCAGATGTCATGCTAATGGAGAAGAGGAGTGTGATCGTTACCCAGGCAACCCATAAATTTCTCTCTTACTCAGAGTAAGACAGAGCACTTGGAGGATGTTAACCTAGCTAGTTAAACCTGTCACCCCCAGATACAGCTTTACCAAATACCAACCTTTCTTGATGTTGCTGTTATTAATTTATTCTTTTTATCAGTTTCATGTTTCCTCTTTGGGAGAAGAACATCACACTCTGCTATGATGGATGTTTTCTTTGAGAAATTGCACGACCTATTTCATCAAGACTTTGACCGTTTGTCCTTTAAGAAGTGATTAACCCCAAGCATTAGTGTGTGTCCTTTCTGGTGCTAAGGGAGGTTAATGGCGGGGTTCCAGTTGTCCCAGGTCAAAGTCAGCTGGACAGCATTTGTGGTTCTAGCCCACTTCACATACCTACTGCTTGGGGCCACAGTCTTCCAGATACTGGAGCGAGAGGCTGAGAGAAATAGCCGTAACCATTTCCAAGTGGAGAAGCTGCATTTCTTGGCTAACTATACCTGCCTGGATGGACCAGCCTTGGAGAAGTTTGTTCAGGTTTTCCATTTGTGGCTTCACAGTTCTCTCAGGAATTGATGTTGAATCATTTCAGTATAAAGTACTTGCAGTGTAACAGCAGAATATTCACAATTAATGTAAAACAAATCTAGAATTTCTTATATTAGACTAGATTTGTCAGCTTCCTTTTGTATTTAAAATGGTAACAGATGCTAAAATACACAGTCAGCCTTAATCAGTGTGGTGACAATTGTATACAAGTGTGTACATATACAAATATGTTTTAAATCGCTGTGTAAATATGATGATGAAAAGGGCTCAGCAAACACTGACATGCATCAAATAAAATTGGCAGATCAATTTTATGATTGTGTTAGGTACATAGTAATAAATGGTATTAAATATATCATGATCTAAAATATTTACCACAGTAATATCTGGTCTGTGGTTTTTTTTAATGTCCACACTGTGGATAAAATCCAGCAAGTTTGACTTTATTTTGACATTTTTATATTTTAGTTCATGTTTTTTTCTCTGTGTGTGTGTGTGTGTGTGTGTGTGTGTGTGTGTGTGTGTGTGCATGTGCGTGCACACAGGTGATTTTGGATGCCTGGGAAAAGGGAGTGAATCCCTCAGGCAACTCAACAAGCCCCAGTAACTGGGATTTTAGTAGCTCTTTCTTTTTTGCAGGCACTGTAGTCACAACAATAGGTGAGCATGTTTGCACATTTCTAATTTTAACTGTCAGTTTTGGAGGTGGCCCACTCTGCTGATGGCATATCATAATCTGCTTCACAGGTTATGGGAACCTTTCGCCTAGCACTGTGTCTGGTCAGGTGTTTTGTGTGCTTTACGCCCTCTGTGGGATCCCACTGAATCTGGCCTTCCTCAAACAGCTGGGGAAGTGTCTCACCATCCACCTGGGTCATCTGGAGAGGAGGATGGTCTCAATTGTTCCACACAAGGTGCCGATCACTTTAATCAGTCCAGACACGGAAATATTAATCATATAAAAATAAAACAACATTACTACTATTTATTTATCTCCCTTTTTAAAACTCAAGGAAGACCAACTGGCTTTTAATGAAAGTTACTAGCACCCACCTTTTTCTTTTGTTTCCTTTTCTATCTTGTCTTCTCTCATTAAATTGAATATGGTTCTTTAATTACATGTATATTCATAAGTTTTGATTCTCTTATTATCTGTCTTTTGTTGTAGTGGCTCAGACTCTTTCTGGTGTTGCATATAGTTGCATTGTGTCACATGCAATACTTTTTTATATTTAATTTTGTCTCACTTGTAAATAGCCAGTGCGCTTCAGTATTTGCTATCAGATAAAAACTGGTGCCCTCTTTCAATTCCAAATAACCTAAATGTAGTCTTAATTTGTGTTTGTTTCCAAGAAAACAGTTGAGGCTCTGGCAGTGAGTTTATTCTTCATCACTGGCAGCCTGCTGTTTCTGGTCATCCCTTCTCTGCTGTTCAGTTACGTGGAAGGTTGGACGTTTGGCGAGGGCTTCTATTATGCCTTCATTACCCTCAGCACCATTGGTTTTGGAGATTATGTGGTGGGTGAGTAGAAAGCGCAAACAAGAACTAATGCAACAGAAGGACCCCAGCAGTCACTAGTCAGATTAAAATGAAACTAATGTAATTGAAGGATCCCAGCAGTCACTAGTCAGATTAAAATGCTTTTTTTTTTGTTTTAATATAGTGAATATTTTGTCATTTTACATATAAAGTTACCATGGAAGGCAGGAGAGCATTTGTACATGTATCAACATTAAACTGAATGTGTATTCTTTGAACTCATTAAACATAAAGTAATTCTTGCAGGGAATGATCCAGGGAAGGAGTACATCTCTCTGTACCGTAGCCTTGCAGGCATATGGATCATCTTTGCCCTGGCTTGGCTTGCTCTAATCCTCAACATGGGAGCCAGAGTCATGGAGCATGTGGTTGTCCTGACTCAGCCAGGCTTTAAGAAACAACAGGAGGAAGAGGAAGTGTGATCCAATAAACTAGAAACTAAATCCATAAACAAGGGTAGCATCTACTGAATGTATCTATTACTAATTTGTTCTGTGAAGCTTAGGCTGGAAAACCTTTTGTGTGTACAGTACAACTTTATTTCAGTTAGACCAAAACGTCACTACACTTGACTAGGGTAAATATCTTCATAATTATGTGTTTAATTGTATTTTTTTTAGATATATGTATGCACTTTGTATTCTATGAAAACTGACTTCATTATTAGACTGTTTTAAAAGAGAGAGTTGTGCAAAATAAGTTATTTCTTTTGCTTAATGTCAGATATCTTATGGTGTGTGTATATTCGTGTGAGTCCACATCTGTGTTTGTGTACTGATGTTAAACTGCAGTGACTTGAGCACAGAGGGCTATCTTAAACAAACACATTAATCTGGATTATTGGATTTTGCCTGTTGTGCTTTTTTGATACATTCACTAAAAGTGGCCAGAACTGAGCACCGGCCATCACTTTGTCTTATACCAGCAACTTTTATTCTGAAGAAAGAAACTGAAACAGAAATCATGTCTTATGTGTAACATGGATTGTAGACTGTTTTGGTTTGTAGTCTAGTGAAGTGCAGTAGTTATTTTATTTTATTTATTTTTGTCCATATCTCCCTTATCATATCTGTTGTCCCCTACCACCTCGTTATCTTGGACCAAAAAGAAATGAATCTGAAAAAAAATTCATGACCTGGTTCATTTTGAACAGAAACTCCTGACTTTGAACTTCTACACAGACCTTCCTGCAGCCCAGCCTCTTCTGCTGTCTCTTCCTCAACTCACTTAGTTCCACTAGATTTGCATGACAGGTCCACTGGAGTGCTTGAAACAGTACTGCAGGTGGATGCTCATTTGCCTGCATTGCACGGAAAGACACGAAGCCAAGCAGGTAAGCACTCACTCCTTATTGTCCCCAGCTGCAGAGGCACTGAGATTTCTTGGAATCCGAAGTCAAGATGGGATTGAAAGAAATGTTCCATTTGGCACGGGTGCCCTCCATCCTCATGCTCGGGTTAGTTTACATGACCTATGTGCTGATCGGTGGGGTGGTTTTCTGGAAATTGGAAGGAGACCTTGGAGAGAAGGACATCAGTGTTTTACTACAGAATAAAAAAAACCTGCTTATGACATACCCCTGTCTGAATCAAGAAGGCCTGGATGCAGTGGCTCAGGTGAGGCACAGAAACATAGGACATAAAAAGAAATAGACTAATTCCATATTGCTTTCTTCCTCAGGATGTAGAGGAACCACAGAAAATGTTTTAAAACAGCAGTACAGACATCACAGGTACACATATTCATGTCTGAATATTACATTCCCAGGCACTTGTTTTCTTTCGTCATGGACATTAGCATGCAAATCTGAAGGGAGCACCCACGGTAATATAATCTAGAGATTTGTTCTCCCTGTGGGTTTTACTGAGACCACTCTATATCTATTTCTGAATGAATAAATGTCACTATCTTGAAATATTCATAGTATACATCACAGAGTGTTGATGCTGCCCCTTGGTTTACATAATGTGAACTTAGAAATATTTCTTTGGATGCAACACACATTCAACAGTTTGTCATTGTAGGGATGTACAGTAACTGTACTTTGCTTAATGCCATTTAAAGGATTGGTGTTAGTATATCTACTGATATTTTTTCCATTGGCATACATTGAATAAATCTGACTTAATCTGTAGTGACCAACAAAACTACTTTTACTGAGTTAAAATACACTGACTGGCCACTTTATTAGGTACACCTGTGTAATTGTATGCACTTCAATGCAACAGTTCACTTAAACATTTGTGTTTCAGTTTTTGGTGAAATTGTCACAGATATTTTTGTCCTCCGCAGCTACATACATGAGAGGGTCTGAATATTAGGGACTCTTCTACATATAACTGACCTCAATAATAAACATAGAATTCAATTTATACATTTATGATAATTTCACTAAAACCGGAAACATGTTGCGCTTCATAAACACAGATGTAAAGGTGGAAGTGTTGCACTGAAGTGCATACAATTGTACAGGTGTACCTAATAAAGTGGCCGGTCAGTGTACATGCAAGACTTGTACATTAGGTTGTACTACTGTATTTTGTCATCACTCCAATAAATTGCTCAAGTAATTAACAACAGTAGTGGGATCATTCAGCAATATATGCATTTAAACAAGAACAATAATTTAATCTTGTAACAGTTTCAAGACACAGAGAATTATATGCGATTACTGCCAAAGTTAAAATACAAGTCCTGGAAATCTCGGCTTGTATTTATTTGGTAAAGAGGGAGTTTCCTCCATGCAAATACCAGCTTTGCCTATGTTTGTTGCCCTGACTTGATTTACACATTAGCAAAGATGTGCAGTCTTCTACTGAGCTCTACAAAAAAAAAAAAACACATTTGCACATTAAGAAAAACAAGAGTGTTGATCATTTTGCCAAAGCCAAATTATGCTTAAACATGGGGTGCATGCAACCAAGGTCAAAATCCAGTGTACAAAAGAAGAGGATTCACACACCTTTCAGTGTGTAGTAGTCTTTTGGTATACTGGTTCACCAACAATGAGTGTCACTGTCAGTCAATATCCCACCAACAAGTGCCAATTGGTCACCTGTAATCAGAGGCATCCTCAGAAAATGCTGATGTGTCAGCTAAATCAAAAGAAAATCTTTCATTGATTTGAGCGTGTGAACTCTCTTTATTTGTACTGCTAATTCTGTCAAGTACCATGAGCAAGAGAGTGTGAATAAGCCCTCAGATTTGTTAAAACTGAAACCCAAGCCGGCCACAGAGATGGTTACAGGTGCCTCCTCCGTGAATTTTATGATGATATGAAGATCTGAAATCCAAATTTAGTTCCTGTGTTTTTTTTTTTCTTGTGAAAATCTATAAACAAAGGTGAGATTTTATACACCCATGTGGGATAAGGATGCATTGCCTAATAACTGGTAAACTGAGACATAGATGAGGCACCTGATCTCAGACTGTAATATACATGTTCTTAGGCATAATTTCCCACATTGGTGATGAACTCAACTTGTATAACAGGCTGTCACTAGATCTGCTGTGACACAATGCTAAGCAGGTACTTCTTTATGTCATGCTCTATTGTATTGACCTGAATGGCCTCAATGTGTCTTACTAGCCTTAACACAAACAGAAGTTAATAACTGTAAATCATACAGTCTGAGCTATGTCCATGGGAGATGGCATTGTTTCATTTTAATCCAAGCATTTTAACTAACACAAGCCACCAAGAGCCTAATTATATTTTGTTTTTCAGGTTTTGACTGCCGCTTCTAAAGCGGGCTTAAGTTTTAAAAACAACTACACCAAGAGCGGCTTCTGGAAATACACCAGCTCAGCTGTGTTTGCTGCAACTGTCGTCACAACTATAGGTTAGACATCAACATGTTTTCGACAGTGGTGGAAAGTAACTAAGTATATTTACTCAAGTATTGTACTTAAGTACAATTTTGAGGTATCTGTACTTCACTTGAGCATTTTCATTTTCTCTTGCTTTATACTTTGACTTCACTACATTTTAGGCAAATATTGTACTTTTTACTCCACTACATTTATTTAATAACTTTAGTTACTAGTTACTTTTTAGGACCAGATTAATATAAAAATACAATATAATGAGCACCAGAACCTTTAATGTATTCAACTTTGACTTTAATTTTGAATTTGTACAACCTAAACCTAACAGTTTACTTAGTGAAGCTCTGTGGAGTGACGTACTTTCTGGGAGCAAAAACCACAGAGAGGCTCATTCCTGCAGACGAAAATTCTTTTGGACTATGGGTAAAATTTATTGCCAAACATTATCAAGTTCAATATTAGGACATGCCTTTGTCTTTATAACAGACATGTAATCATGCAGTGCAAATAAATCTATGTTTATAGATCTATTATTAATAGAATGTATGTAGATTTGCACTTCTAAAGTGAGGCACCTTACTTCCCATATTTAGTGAAATGAAAGATTTAAACCATTTATTGACCAGTTCAGTCACAATGAGGTACTGACAGCTTACACTTTTGCAGGTTATGGGAACCTGTGTCCCACCACTTCAGCCGGACAGATCTTCTGTGTGTTCTTTGCGCTATTTGGCATCCCGCTTAACGTGGTGGTGCTCAACAGGGTGGGCAAGTACATCCTTGTTATAGGGAGAAACATCTCCAACTTCTTCGAAGGGAAGACTGAGCGAAAGGTGAGGAGATTTGATATTTAAAGAGAACTCTAGAAACATTTGTCTTACACATTCACCTGGGAAAAGTATTCTCTGGAACATGACAACATGTCTGCTCCCTTCCACATATTGCTGCAGAAGTGTACCCGCTTTTTTGTCCACCTGGTGTCCTACCTGTCTGGAACAGTTCTCTTTTTCATTGTGCCCATGATTGTGTTCCAACTCCAAGAGGGATGGACTTACTCGCAGGCACTCTACTACTGCTTCATTACCCTCAGCACCATTGGCTTTGGAGATTTTGTTGCAGGTACATCATAGTGGCCGCCTCCTAGAAAACACTACACTGCAGTGCTGACTATGATTTGAATGTCAGGATCATATCCTTGTGTTTTTGCCTCTCCTTTACAGACAGTAATCCAGATAAAATGTACCCAGACTGGTACAGCGTCCTCATGGCCTCGTGGATCTTCTTCGGCCTGGCTTGGCTGGCCTTGATTATCAACCACTCTATTGACATCCTGGAGCAGCTCAACAGCCACCTCAAACGGCGTCGACAAAAGCAGGAGGAAGAGTCCAACAGTGCAGAGGGTGCCAACCCTGACACACAGGTCAAGGAGGAAGATGATATCAAGAAGCCTCCAGTAACGCAGTAACCTTCAAAAAATGATGAAAATAGCAGAACCTGCTTATAAAATGTTCTGCCTGTATGTGAAGACCTGTGAAGCAGACATAAACCATGCAACGTGGCTAAGTCATGACAGGATGTGTGTGTTATAGGTCCATTAAACGTTGAGCATGTGTGAGGATTTAATATGTGATTGTGCTATGGTTGGTTAGTTTTGATCCCTCTCTTCTTAAGTGCAGCTAAAATATTGACTCATTTTTGCAGAGACATGTTGATTTTATTGCACTAACATCTACCTGCTGTTTAGTCTGTTAGCACTTGGTTTCCCAAACTGTAAACAAGTGTCATTTGATAAAAAAAAAAAGAGGACTTTGAGGTTAAACTCTAAGGAAGGAGACTGGGACAACAGTTATTTTGCCTAGTATGTATAGTGGTCAGTGGAAAACTGCCATCAGTCTGCCTGCTGCTCTTTGGCCTTTCCATGAGTGGCTCACACCCCAGACCATAAACCAAGTCATTTGCCAGCTCAGTGGCATTTTGCAGTTGGCATCTGAGCCACATATGGGGTTATCCACCAGAGACATTTAATCTGCTGTATATCTACAGTTAAAATATGTGTAAATAATGTGATTTGTTTAGTTTAATATTAGCACATAAATGACACACTGTAATCATGAAAGCATTATGTTTTTGAAAAGTCAGAAACACTAGACTCAGCGATATATTATCAGTATACTCTACCTAAGCTTAGACAAGTGAAGACAGGTTTATTTATGTATCACATTTATGTTTATTTTATTCAATTCTAAGATTATATTAATTGTCTAAAGTAACACCAGTTCTTGGCCATACTTCAAATAATAATAATAATACAATATTTAAATGCTAAAAACTAATATCTAAGTAAGCCAAAGCTTTTGCTTTGAATAAGATGGGAAAACAGAAACTTCCTGATGATTCTTTACCTTTTTGCTTCGCCTTTAGCTTTATAGCCACTAGATGGTGGTACTATACCAAGTAAGGAGAAAAAACCCCAACTTGTATTGGTGTTGGTGATAATATAGCTACAGGCTCACTGGAGTTGTTAATAGTATTCTTTTGTTAGACAATCTTGGTAGAATCGTGTCAGTGGTTGGACAACTGAGCAGACCCAGCTCTCAGAGGTGTCTGCCATTACAAGCCAGTTGGACCAGCCACTGCTTCACCTGAGCAAATACAATGCAGATGCTGTGTTTGAAGCCACATATCTGCTCTTTGCTTGGGTGAGGATAAGGTTCAGGTAGCTTTGTGTTAAGGGTAGGTTAGGTCTGGAAAATGGTGTCGTTTGCTGTGGGGCTCTGAAGATTTATGACGGCATGGCCTGACACCCCCCTCTTTAGAGACAAATAAAGGTATATAACTCGTCATCTGATAACATATATAACTCATTTAACTCGTATACTGAGCTTCCATTTTTTGGCACATTTAATTGTGTATCATTGACTGTCTAATATAATTTTATGTACTTTTGACATCATTAATGAAATGTGCACATTGATAATTTTACTATGTGTTTGTTTTAGCTGTCTGCTTCTGTTAGCACAGTACAGGACACAGTAGCATTCACAAACACCTCCTGAGGCGACCTATGACAGAGGCAGCACCAAGGAGGCGTGGATGACAAAGTCAAGCAGCAGGGACAAAAGAGTGGAAAGTGAGAACATGCTGGGCGATGGCTAGCAAGAGCAGAAATGAGTGAAAATGACAGTCAGTGGAAGAATTTGTGTAGGATTAATGATGGGGAAACAGAGTGAGACTGACAGGAGTGTGAGCATTGTTCAACAATGCACCACATCCCTGTTTGGCCATGATTCAACAATAAATCAAAATGTGGAGCTCCTGTCTGATCAACCAGTGGTTTCACCTGCTTATGGTTTGCAGTGATACCAGACTCCAGAGTTGTTGATATGTGTGCTTTAGATTTTAGCCCCATTGTCCTCATCTTCTTTAAACAAGTAATATTATCTCAAACTTCAGTTCACATGTAGTTAGAATACAGTCGAACTGACATTTTACATTAGCATGTGTGCTGGGCTCAGTAAATTATTCTATTAGGGTTTTTGTCTGAAACTCAAAGATATTCAATTTACTCTCATATGTGACAAAGAAACCCAGCAGATCCTCACATTTAAACAGCTGGAAGCAGAAAATATTTTGGTAGTTTGTCTTGAAAAATGACAGAAACGATTTATCATTTATCAAAACTGTAATTTTCTGTCAATTGACATCAGTTAATGGGCTAATCTCTGCAGCACTAGTCTATTTATCAGTCTTAGAGTCTTTCATATGGTACAAAGTGTTACTCAGTAGTTACTCAGTAGTAGGTCTTTGATTTCCTCAGTGTGGATTCAGTTCCAGTACTATATGAGTAAGCAGCAAAATATTAAAGCATTGCAAAATATCAATTATTCACAGGTTTCACAACAAAACACATTTCACAAACTGTAAAATCTTTGTAGAATATTTGAAAAATGTAGGTGTGTCTGTCGATGCCCCAGACAGTAAGCACCTCATTCAAGTGCTAAATGTTGTTATGCTTGTATATACACACACATACACGCACATGTACATATTTTATTTGCACACACATGATTAGAAGACAAGTCACATGAAAAGCATCTCAACAGTATTCATGTGGATGTGCTTTAAAAAGATGTGTGCAACCTCTATCAAACCTTACAGGCAGTACTGAAGGAAGTTGTTTTAATGAAAACATGCCAAATTGCAGTAAAGATTCAATTGGAAGAACATAACTTTTCCAGTAAGACTTTCAACATAACCTCTTTGTTTAAACAGCAAATGACAGACAGCTGAAGTGCTGTCCAGACTTCACATATGACTGAAATTTTAATTTTGTGACTTGAGCCTGTGTCTTTACTGAGAAGTCAGCTCACCAAGTGCAAATAAGGTGCAGGAAGACCCCCTGTTATTATAAACTAAAATGGGGTTGACACTGAGCGTATATAGGGCAATTTGTGGTATAAAACCATCTGTTTGCAGCTAGTGAAATAGTTTATTTGGAACACATTGCTGCCTAAATTCTCATGCTTTATACCACATGTACAGTACACACAGGAAATGACATGCAGGAAAGTAGCTGTGGTGCTGCACATGGTGTTGAATGGAAAAACAACACTGCAGCCTTGAGCTGTCTGTTCATCAGGAAGTGGTGCACATAAACAGTTTATCTAAAGTCACTTAAGTGCTATGTTCAATTTAACAGGTCATATTTTAAAAATAGTTTTTATTAAACTTCTGGCATTGAGTTTTTCACAGAGAGTCACATTATTTGGACATGACTGTGGTTACTTTCAGTCAAAAATGAAATATTCAGTTTGACCCATTTTAAACCTTGTCAGCACCTCCCAGTTTCATCATAACATTTCTGTGGTTCTTAATCATTTACAAGCAAAACAGCTGCTCTTATCATAGTGGTAAAAGAGAATAGCAAGACTGAGATAACTGTGGAAGATAAAGTGAACCTGGGACTGCAGTTGAACATATTATACTGCTATAAAGGACAAATGCCACAGTGATAAGTCTAAAGTGATCAAAACAATGTTGAAATAGCCCAGGGAAAAGTTACTGGAATAACAAAGCTCATCAGTGACCACATTTTTAACAGCCATAAGGGGAATCTTTCTTGCACTTATCTTTGCTTTCGTTTTATTCAAGATTGCCATCAATTTTTATCTGTCACATCTGGCTCTAGTATTAGTCAACTCATATGTTTGCTATAAGCGTGTCCCCACTTCCACCCCATCATTGGGCCTGAACTCCCCGTTCTGAGCCAATGGGAGGACAACATGCACATCCTGCCTCTAAAATCATGTGAGCATTATTTTCTCTCACCTCCTCCTCACTCAGCTGTGTCAGTTAAAACCTCCCTTAGTCACAGCTTGACCTCTGTGTTTGTGTGCATTTTTGAACCTGACGGATTGATCGTTCCTCATGTTTACTTTCCCTGGCGAGGCATCTGCTGCACTTCACCCAAATCCCAACACTTACTATAATCAGGCCAGTGGACAGATACAATTGTGCTGAGCTGACAACAGTGAGCAAGTGCTATCAGTGGAACAAGAATGCAAAGATGTAGCCAGATAGAGGCTAGCATGAGGGCAGATAAGCTGATGGTCAAACTGAACAGATGGCTTTTTAGGAGCAGAACAAAGAGAGGAAATCAACTCTGAAGTCTGAAATTTCCTTCACTTGCATCATCCCAAACTGTTCCACAACACAAGTGACAACCTTCTTCATCGTCCTCGTCAGGCCACATGCAGCTATGATACATGACATGTAAATGAATGTCTAAAGGTTGTGAGAAGACAGACTAAACAGTGAAAAAAAAAACACAAAGTTGTGCTCTGAGTCACTGAAAAGATGGGCATGAGTCTACATGCATGTGTTTAGTGGGGTTCACCAACATGCTCATTGAGGTTTTTGGAAAAGTATGTTCATGAACAGGGTGTTTGCCAGAAAAAATTTGCAGTTGACTATCAAACAAACACAACGATGTGCAGCAAGGTCATACTCGCACTGTACTAACAACAGACTAGAGCAGACAGATAATAATGCCAGGCCATGGTGACATGCCCAAACCGGTGCAAAGGTTTACCTTCCCATAACTACTCATTAACTGCACACTCATGCCAAAACATGTCTATATGTATATATGGTGAGGTCAAAGCCAGCCAGGCAGCATATACAGTACAGTAGCTGTCCACTCACAGCTGTTTACTCCAACAGAAAGTGTGTAGTTTACAGTGAGTCAGCTGTGTGACACCATTCTGTGTCATACATGGACCATAGGCAGACAGGAAAGCACATCCTTTGATTTAACCAGTGACTTTCCAGTCATATTTTAATCATATGCTCAATATGACACTGATGATCCATGTTCACCTTAATATATTATACTTTGTGATCCGTAACTATTTTCTTTCAAATAAAACATCTTAAATATATGTACATAAATCAAATGCTCTTCATATACAACAGCAGTAATTGGCTCTGTGGGGTTGTATTTAAGCATCTTAGTTTAGTATAATAACATGCCAACATCTGCTGATTAGCTCAAAGTAGTAGTAGCTGTACTAGTAATAGGGAAAGTAGTAGTCTTAAA